AGGAATGCTGACATATGTGTTTGGATTCTCCCTTTCCTCCAGCCCAGGAGAGGTGGGAGAAGAGTCATCTGAGGATGAGAAAGTGGAAGCCCGCGTGGAGAGTCCCCAAGAAGAATAAGTCTGCACAGCCACATCCCAAGTGTGGGACAGCTGAACAGCATCTGGATGTGTGAGTCATCCCCTGGATAGGGGACCCTCTGACATCCTGGGTATGGGAAAGAACAGGATAAGAGCCTCCCTCTGGGTGCCTTTTATCAGGCCAAAGCCAATGCCTGAGACCTTTGCAGAGGTGAGTGGGGTGCGGGGAGAAATGCACTCATGGATGTGTAGGGGCCAAGGAGGGAAGAGGTAAAACAGGGCACTCAGGGCTCAACTGCAGACAGGGAAGAACATTCTCTCTGCTTTTGGAGCCCTCATTTCCCATCAGGCCACAGTGAGTGATCACCATGGACACAGAAAGACTGGCTGGAACAGGAGGAAGAAGGTCATTGACAGAAAGAAGCCAGAAGTTACCTAGAAGAGGAATTCCCTAGGGAAACAACTTCCAAGACTAACCATGTTCCCATGTCTCATGCAGAGCCCTTGCTTCCAACAGTAGCAGCCCCTGGGAGAAAGAAGGTCTTTCCCTGACACAGCTAGGGAAACAGCAGCAGGCATTGGGGTATGTGACATTGAATCAGATATACCTTCTCCCCAGAGCCTATTGCTGGTCTCACAGATTCTGAATACAGTGTGAGAAATTATTGTCCTTGGGGCTAGAGACCACAGGACTCATCAGTTCTTTGGCTTTCCTGGGCACAGCACAGTGACATCAGGACCCCAGTCCCTCCTGTTCAATAGCTGCTCAAAGGTCTCAGTCCTTGCCCAGATTCATCAGCACCTCAATAAGCTGCTGGCTGGACAGAACTTTGTGCACACACACACATACAACAGAGGTCCACATTCACAAATGTCCACACAAACAAGCACATATGCATCCACACAAGCAGCTGTGGGCTCAAGAGGAGACACTGGGGAACCCCCTGGCAGGGAAAAGCTGGAGCACCTTGGGTTAGAATAAAGCCACAAACATATCCCTAATGTAGTTTGAGGACTCCCAGAGTCTTCCCAGGCGGGGCAGGAGGCCAAACAGAGCAGGAACATTCCCCTGAGGGCAGCATTACAAGGAAAATACCAGAAGTGAGGGAGAGAGAATTTTGTGACATGTCCTCGTGGATGGGAGCTTTGGAGTGCAGGCTGGGAACAGCTTAGCTCCTTCCTGAAAAAGAGGACACAACCACCCACCAGAGTGCCCCAGCCTTACACTAACTGCCTGCACAGGACCCCTCTGGCTCTTGGTCTGTGTCTTCTTCCTGCTCTGATGTGTTTCTGCCCTGGAAATTCTTGAGCTCATATTCTCATCACTCCATGAGGGAAAAGGCATGCTAGAAAGGAGAAAATTAAAAGATAGCACTGCAGAAAATCAAAACACATCCTACATCATTAGCTGGGACATTTTGCTTTAGACATGAGTATATCAGAAAATTGCTACCTCCAAAACGAGTGCCTGTGGACCTGGGCAAGTGCAGGATCAGTATAAAAACTAGCAGAACTCTTTGCTCCCTCATCCACTTTTCTTGCCTCTTTCTGCATTGAGCACAACATAGGGGAAGCTCTTTCTCCTCCTTCTGCTCTAGGATGAGGTCTTCCCTCAATGGCTATCTCAGATGATACCCATTCTGCCCTACTGTTAGGCTTCAAGCTCCTTCTTATGGGACATTGAACAGAGAAGAGTGTTTAGCTTGGGGAGACATTAGGATTTGACTGAGATGTTCCTGCTGTACAGGCTTGGCAGGAATCTCTACGACTAGCTGCTCTTTGTGGGGCCCCTAGGTGTAAGTGAAAGACCCTCTGGTGTATCCCAGCTGAGCCTCCTCTTGGACACTCAGCAGGACCCTTGTCTTCCGTATGGGAACAAGGCTGTTTTCTCACCCATGTCTGAACTCTGATTTTCTGCCAGGTGCACCTCTGACTTTGAGACATGTCCCGCTACAACCACTGCCTGTCATGCATGCCACACCAGCACTGTGGCCCGACCCCACTGGCCAACAGCTGCAATGAGCCCTGTGTCAGGCAGTGCCAGGACTCCACCGTCATCATCTAGCCCTCCCCTGTGGTGGTGACCCTGCATGGGCCCATCCTCAGCTCCTTCCCACAGAACACCGCCCTGGGCTCCTCCACCTCCGCTGCTGTTGGCAGCATCCTCAGCTGTGATGGAGAGCCCATCACCTCTGGGTGCTGTGACCTCTCCTGCATTGCCAGCCACTACTGTGGCAGAAGGGGCCACCCCTGTTAAAGGTTGTGGTAATACCCCAAGGAAAGACTTTGAGGAACTCAGAATATGATGCTGAGCAGAGGGATGATCTTTTCAGGATAGCTGATGGCTTTACACTTTTTCTCTTTTTCTTGTTTCTTTTGGTTCCCCTGAGCCACAATGACCCCCAAGGACAGCCTAATGGGGATCATCTGCTTTCTCCCTCTTTGTGGTACAGGCAGACAAACATCATGCAGGAACATCTCTACAACTAATAAGCACAGTCTCTCTTCTGCACCTGGTGCTCACTTCACTGCTGTCCTCCACTTGGAGTTACTTTGTTTCACTCTTCTGTCTCATTAAAGTTCTGCTGCACTGAAATCTCACCCCCATGTGGTCCTTCCCTATGTGGACACTTTCTTTTTACGGGATAAAAAGAAAGTCAGGGAGAATGTGGGCCCTCTGCAGAAGGAAATGGGAGAGCTGGCTTCCCAGAACATGGAGAAGGCCGAGGTACTCAACGCTTTTTTTGCCTCGGTCTTCACTGGCAACGGCACAAGCCGTACCCTCAGAGTCATGGAAGACAAGGGCAGGGATTGGGAGAATGGAGAGCCGGCCATGGTCAGCGATGATCAGGTTTGGGAATGCCAGAGGAACCTGAGGGTGCACAAGTTCATGCGACCCGATGGAATACATTTGCAGGTCCTGA